TATGATTTAAACCTTTGGACCTGAAGGGGTTGGGCGAAAAAAGTCAAATTGGCTTAATTTCCATTAATCTTCTTCAGAGCGGCATATGCTAGAATCAAAATCTCTTCATAGATTGAGTGTTCTTGTAGATCTCTGTACCTGAAACTCTAAACTGTGGCGTTATCTCGTCTGGTACAAAGGACCGCTGAACTAGAGCATCCTTCGGCAAAGGGGACTCAATCTTGTATTAACGTGCAAGATATGAGGGCTTTTAAATAAATTTGGTCCAGAGTTTGCTGTGGCAAGGGACACTCAATTTTGTATAAACATAGGGTTTGACACCCCTGAGGCCAGAGGGGCGATGCCCGATAGGGCGAACATAGTGATACATGTTCAAAATCTTTCATCAGTACGAAAGCAGGGACTGTTTTACTATCCTAAGGCAATTTGGACTCAAATTTCGTATAGAGGATGCGGTCCCCTTGGGGCAGAGGACGGGGCCAACACAATTACAAAGGGATCATCGGGTGGGGTGTTCTGCTTGGTGTCTTCGGCAGTATGTTTCAGTGAGGTAGCACTATAAAGTCGGCATCAGATCCGTGCTATCACAAGGAGACAAACACGAACATATCGCAGCCTCCCAAAACACACACGCATACACTACATGCATGCATCTTGCACACAGGAGGGCCGTCCTAAAATGACCATAGCTGTTGATAGGACGCTAAACAATACTTAACTAAACCAAACCAAACATAGAGATAAATGTGTTTAAATACCCGTCTTTTCTATTTTAATGGAGGGGTTTCAACGAACTTTGATGTAGGGCAGCCTTGGGCAAAATGGTTGGTTTAGTTTGGTTATATTTTGTTTAACGTCCTATCAACAACTAAGGTCATTTAAGGACGTCTATGTGGTTGTGTTATTTGCCTCCTTACGATAGCGCGGATCTGATGCCGACTTTATAGTGCTCACTGCAATGCAATGCTGATGACACCAAGTACAGCATTTAGCAAACTGTGTAGCCCTTCATCCCAGCATGTTACTTGCAAAATATCAGCAGCCTGGGCTTTGTGTTTAACATAAGAAGAGCTCTTTCATTTTAACAAACTTTGTAGCCCTGTATCCAAGCATGTTACTGACCAAAACCCAACATGCGGGGCCTTTCGGTTATTTAGAAGAGGTCGTTAAAATGTTTAAAACATATTTGACCACTGCGACCTGGAATATCGGACCTGGTGCAATAATTAAAATAAGTATAGTAGGTGATCTGATAAGGCCCCTGGGTTCGGTTTGGTCTTGCTTTTATTTTGTTTAACGTCCTATTATCTGCTAAGGTCACTCAAGGACGTGCCTCCATGTGTGTTATAAAATTAATTATATTTACATACGCCATGCTTTCAACTGTTATTTTATAGCATTCCCCAGTCAAATCTAGACATGTTCCCCGGAGGAACCTTCTTTTCAGTAATTGACCGGTAGGAGTGCTTCTAGCTTACTCTTTAACGCCCCGATCAGTCCCATCTAGCAGACGACATATGTATATCACATGTTGTAAATAGGCGTTTGTGCTGTGATGTATAGATTCTAATTTTACATTTCCGTCCTTGTTGTTGACCGTGACTATAGAACTGATTAAAAACCAATTTAAAAGGACTCCGGTGGTGTCATGTGATGTTTTGACAGATGTGCCATTGGCTGTTTTATTAAAGAACTTCACTGTAAATTTCCATCACGCAAACGAATAATTATATGCTGGTATTGCTGACAAAGCATCTGTTCGTTCATAACAATTATGATGTATAGTCACTCATTCTACTTAGATGGGGTGTTAAACCAATATGAAATCACTGCTGATAATATATGTTGATGCCTTGTATCAAATGAATTGTCTGTGTCGTGTGTCCTGTAATACTTGTTAACACCCCTACAATACCTTCTCGCCTGCCTGACTAGCTATGTCACCGCTTAGTGTTGAGGGCGCAGATATGAAAGGCGTAAACTTACAGGGAATACGACAAATGTTTTTTTATTAGTTAATCAACTACTCTATCTTAATAGCAGTTACCAGTCAATTTACACTAATGAGGTGTTTTTTTAACGGTTCCGAACATGTTTACGTTTTCTTGTTTGGTCTGTTTGGTTGCTGGTCGGTAGGGACACAAATGACGTCACAGTATGAATATGCATGATTTCTGTGTAACGACATGTCAACTCAACAGCTTTGTTGAAAACATTGTGTTGTTGCGGGTTTTAAATGGCTGTTAAATTCAATAGGCCTATGCAACGTAGATTTATTTACTACTTTGCATACTTTTTTGTCCAGAAAAAGTTTTCGTAAGGACAGGTATAAACAAGAGTCCCAGGGACCTTAATAGCACACCTGGTTTGTTTTAATCTCAGTTTAAAAACTGCTGAGTACTTTACCAGTTTATCAAAGGAGTACAAGAAAAAAAAAGATGCAAGAAAAGACTACATGTAAATCTGTTCGTTTGGGTAAGACACCAAGAATATATATAGTGTATTCTTCATTTCCAGCAATTTTTGAAATGGTTGTGGCATGGGGATCTCAACTGTTTCCATGTTATGACCAAGGGAGATTTGTCTGGACCTACGGGCCAATCCCGAAAGCATGAATATTTTCTATTCTTCATGCCTAGGCAGTTATATATTTTGTTTTGGGATGTGGATAAAATCACTCAATTCATATGGAAGGTGAAGTATTTATTAATTTACCTCTTATGCCACTTTTGGGTCACAACCTTCTGCTAAATGAGGAGCCACACACACTGTTTATATAAACCCGAGTCCCCCCATTCGTTTTGAAAGAAAAGGGTTTGAAATGTTAAGCTTTATTTCCCCTTTTGGGCTCCGCCTTCTACCCCATTGGGACCACATCTTCCATTTATACAGCATTTAGTTGCCTTTGCCTACAGATGACCTATAACAAATTTGGTATTCACACAGAAGATGGGCCCCTATTGGGCCCCACCCATCTGCCCTTTAACTCACCTTTGTCGACGTTATACCATTAGTCTACGACTGTTATTGTGGGCGTAAACTCCGTTTATACAAAATTGAGGCCTCTTTGTCCAACGATGCTCTAGAACTAATATCGTTAAAAGCCCTGTATTGGTTGTGAAGGAGAGGATTTTGGAAGATTTACCCATTTTCATTCAATTTGGTATTACCCCTGCAGGTCGGGGATCGAGAAGAAAATACACCTGCTGTTATCCCATACATATATAAATGGAGGGTGTGGCCCCCTTGGGGCAGAGAGCGGGGCCATTACGATCAAATAAGGATAAATGTTTTAAACCCTTTCCTTTCTAAATGGAAGGGTTTCAAATTTCATGTAGGGCATCCTTGAGCAAAATGGTTGGTTGAGTTTGGTTATATTTTTTAACGTCCTATCATCATCCATGGTCATTTAAGGACGTACGTCCATGTGGGTTGTGTATCCGTGCTTAGGTTTGTGTGATTTGCCTCTTTGTGATAGCGCTGATCTGATGCCGACGTCGTAGTGCTCACTCAAATACCATGCCAAGGGCACCAAGTACAGCATTCAGCAAACTTTGTATCCTTTCATCCAAACATGTTACTGACCAAAAATCAACATGATGGGCCTTTTGGTCATTTAAAAGAAGTCATGAAAATGTTATTTTGACCTCTGTGACCTTGAATATCAGTCCAGGTCATTTATTTGAACAACATTGGTAGCCCTATATCCCAGCATGTCACTGACCAAAAATCAACATGCTAGGCCTTTTGTTATTCATAATAAGTTGTTTAAAGGGTTTAAACATATCTGATCCCTGTGACCTTGATTATATAACAGGGTCATTCATTTGCAAAACTTGGTAGCCCTTCGTTCTAGCATTTAACCAGCCAAATATCACAATGCTTGGCCTTTTGGTCATTCATCAGAAGTCGCTTATATGTTTTAAACATATCTGGCCCCTGTGACATTAAATATAAATCAAGGTCATTCATTTGAGCATACTTTGTAGCCCTTTATCCCAGCATTTCACTGGCCAAATATCAACTTGCTGGTTTCTTGTAATTCAATGGAAGTGGTTTATATGTTATAATTATATTTGACACATGTGACCTTGAATATAAGTTAAGGTCATTCATTTGACCAAACTAGGTAGCACTTCATGCCTGCAGGCTACTGGCCAAATATCGTCACCCTTGGCCTGTTGGCTATTCAGAAGAAGTTGACTATTTCCCCCTGTGACCTTCAATATAACTCGAGGCCGTTCATTTTAACAAACCTGGTAGCACGTCATCCAGCATGCTACTGGCCATATATCATATTTCATGCTGGGCTTTCTGGTTGTATAGAAGTTGTTAAAACTTTTAAACAAATTTGACCCCTATGATTGTAGATATGGGCGAAGGTCAAACTTAGTAGCCCTTCATCCCAGCATGCTACTGGCCAAATACCATCACCATAGGCCTCTTAGATATTGAGATTATGTTGTTTAGTGTAAAATGGTGACGCCGGACGGACGACGGACACCACACCACGGCATAAACACTGTTGGCCCTTCGGGCAAGGTGAAGTAAAAGTATAGCAATTGAGGTGTTAAGGCCCCTGGGCTTGGTTTGGTTTTGGTTTTAGTTTGTTTAACGTCCTATTTAACAGCTCAGGTCACTTAAGGACGTGCCTACATGTGTGTTATAGAATTAATTGTATTTACATAAGCCATGCTTTCAACTGTTATTTTATGGCGTTCCCCGTCAAATATTGCCATGTTTCCCGGGGGAACCTCAGAGCTTCAACTTATGGCAAAATATATTATAGTTGCAATAACAAACTTGTCAAAGGCTTTTCGTCATTTTGGAAAAAGTTGTAAAGATTCTTACTTTACATATCCGTTCTTGGTATTGATCGTAATTATAGAACTGATTGAAAACCAATTTAAAAGGACTCCGGTGATGTCATGTGCTATTTTTACAAATGTGCCATTGGCTGTTTTATTAAAGAACTTTACTGTAAATTTCCATCACGTCATCGAATAATTATATGCTGGTATTTATGATATAGCGTCAGTTTGTTCATAACAGTTGGGATTTATAGTCACTCATTCTGCTTAGATGGGGCTTGTCTATCCGTGTTAAACCAATATGAAATCACCGCTGATTATATAGGTAAGTGCTTGTATCAAATGAATGGTCTATGTTGTGTGTCCTGTAATAGTTATTAACAACCCCTACGATAACTTTTCGCCTGCCTGACTAACTATGTCACCGCTTAGTGTTGAGGGAGTAGATATTAAAGGCGTAAACTTAGAGGGAATACGACAAGAAAATGTTTATTAGTAAATAACCAGTCAATTTACACTAAGGTGTTTTTCAACGGTGCCGATCATGTTTAGATTTGTCTGGTTTGGTCTGGGTTTTTGATTCTGGTCGTTATGGACACAAAAGACGTCACAGCATGATTATGCATGTTTTCTGTGACATTTATTTGGAATAAATGCCCTGCGTAAGGACATGTCAACTCAACGTTTTTGTTGAAAAAAGGAAAGGAATGATTAAGTGAAAACAGTCAAATGTCAGCTTAACACACCACACCTGCCTATATTTGTGTTGTGTGTGAGTCATCGAGACGAAACTTAATATTGAACTAAACATTGTTTTCTTGTGGGTTTTAAATAGCTGTAAAAGGCCTATGCAGCTTAGAGAGTTATTAACATGTACTACTTTGCATACTTTTTTTTATCCAGAAACAGCTGCGTGCAGACACGTATATTTCAAGACAGAAAAATTTCGTTGTTCTAAACAAAAGGCTAAGAGGCCTAGATAGCTCACCTGGTTTGTTTTATTTTCAATTTAAAAACTGCTGATTACTTTTCTAATTTTCTTCTGTGCATCCCTAACAATTGTATATTTGTTATGGGATGTGGATACAATCACTCAAATCATAAGGAAGGTGAAGTATTTTATTGATTTACCTTTATTGGGTCACAACCCTCTGCTCCCCGAGGAGCCACACACACTGTTTATATAAACTTGAATCCCACTTCTGCCAATCATTCAATTCGTTTAGAAGGAGACGGGTTTAAACAGTATGCTCTATGTCACCTTTTGGGCTCAGCTCTCTGCCCTATGGGCCTCTATTTATACATTTCATACCCTCCATTATTAGTCCCCTTTGCCTACAGATGACCTAAAACAAGGTGGGTGAAAATCCCTTTATTCAAACATAAGGAGAAAGCTTTTAAAAGTTTTACTTTTATTTTCCCTATTTGGCCCAACACTTCTTCCCTAAAGAGGCCCACAACCAAATTGAGGCCCCTTTGTCCAAAGATGCTCTATAATTCAAGTGGTTAAAATCCCTAAATTGGTTGTTGTGAAGGACAGTATTTTTGAAAAACCCGTTGGCCAATGATGCTTTATACCAAATTTAGTCAAAATCCTCTGAGCTGTTAAGGACTAGTATCGTTTTATAGGGAAAGGTTTATGGACGACGGACGCTGCGCCACGGTATAAACATACCTGGCCCTTCTGGCCAGATGAGCTAAAATGTCAGCTACAACTGAAACCTAACTTTGGGCATTTTAGGTCACATGAGACAAAAATCTCATTTGACTTATTGCAATCGACCTTTGTCCGTCGTTGTGCGAGGTATAGCTCCGTCCGTAAGCAAATTAGTACTTCCTTCCGTAAAACCAATTGACCAGTTTCAATGACATTTTGTAAGACTAACTCCTTGCTAAACACCAAATATTCTCTTATAATACTGGTAGTGTAAGGGATTAGTCGGTGTTTAACAAGGAGAAGAACTTTAGTCCTTGTATTCCAAAAAGGAAAAGTGTTTTTTAAGTAAAAAGGCATTGTGGGATACGTATGAAACTTTTTCAAAATAAAAAGCATCATTTAACTAATATCCATGGCAAGTTGCATGCTTATCCCAAAATAGGCAGAGCAATTGATGAAACAACGAAATTGGTTAACTTCAGTTACTTTCCTTGAGGCTAATACAACGTAATATATTAAATTAATCATTGTACTGTTGATGTGGTGGCAAATACCATTTTTTGTTTGAAAGTTACCTTAAGAAAACAAATCAGGACCTGAAACTCACTTCAGTCACAAGTGCTGAGCACATATATGATTCATATGATATAGAATATTAACTATTGAATCAAACATCTTATACTTATAGCATACAAAGGACGTCCTGCACCTGTTAATTCACTTAAGATAGAGAAGTATTTGAAATTGCCAAGTTTGAGATGTGCCAAGAAGTCATAACTCAGTATAAAAAAGGAAAATTTGTAGTGAATATGCATTTTATGTAAGTGTACTAAATGAGAAAAGTTGTAAATTTCAACGAAAAATATAAATTAGACAGGCAATAACGATTACATAGGGATAAATGTTTAGAACCCTGTTATGTTTAATGGAGGGATTTTAACCAAATTTTAATGTAGGGCATCCTTGACCAAAGATATTGGTTTGGTTTGGTTTTATTTTGTTTAACGTCCTATCAACAGCTTAAGGCAATACCCCACTCTTTGCCTTAATGTTGAACGTTCGTCCAAGTGAGGAAGGCAATCATGATATATTATTTTGACGATCCCCGACCTGTAGGGGTGTAGACAAGAAGGTTTCAGTTTTGTATAGACATATGGTGGGGTCCACCAGGGGGCAAAAGGGAGGTGCCCAATTGGGGAAATAATATTAAATCTTGAAAATGTTTTCCTATGTAAAATGTTGGGTTTTTAACAAACTTTTTGAATTAGACAAATACTTAAGTAAAAGGGACTCAATATTATGCAACTGGAGTGTATGTTTCCCTGTGTTGTGTATGCGTGCACGTGTGTATGGGTGCCGGAGACGGGGTGTATTTCCCTAGGCACCCGATCACAAATGATCCTGATAGTGTCATGTCGACAAAACTGCATATTATGTTTGGATTCTTTCTTCATAATTTTGATGCATAATGTGTAGCCTTAAGCTGCCCTACCAAAATACTAACACCTAGTAAGGATGCAACTAACTTCCATATGATCCTATGTGTGCGTAGGCACAAAATGAACAACATCGTTGACAAAAACAAGCCAATATAGAAAAGGTCACTGTGGCATATTTATCAACCAAGTGTTTTGGGGAATGTTTAATTATGTCACCCAAACGAAGTGGGGGAACATATTGTGTTTATTCCTTTTCTTCTTCTTTTTCTTCTTCTCCTTCTTCTTTTTCTTCTTCCGCCGTGAACTTGTCTGACTATTTTCTCAAAAACTATTTCCCCAAAAACTGCAAGGCATATCTTTATGAAAATTCACATGATTAATAATGAACATATGTAGTTGTGCATTCGTGTCTTAATTTGCAGTTAGTTTCCATAGCAACCACATGGCACGAAGGCTTTTGATTGGTCGAAAATAAGATATTGTTTGATTTTGATAAGATTTGGTATATAGGGCTATTAGGGGACTGCAAATTCAACCGCATCGGTTTTGTTGCCATATCAGTCAAACAGCAACCACAAGGAGGCTTTTGATTGGTGGAAATTTAGATATGCGTTCCTTTTGTGATGCATCTTTTTCACTATGGGGACAGTTAAGGGGACTTCTGTAATGGTCCCCATTACAACTACTACTTGTTATATGCAGCTTTGGTCTTTCACCAAGCTTCAACATTATGTCAAACTAATGCTAGAATGTACTGTATATACAAAATATTTGTGTTGATTTATTATGTGATTGTATTGTTTGAGGAAGTCAATGTGTGTCATACAGATTATAACTCTTTGTAGTACGTGGATTCGAACAATAATTAATTATGGTTTTCCCTTCTTTCCAGCGGCATGTTTTCTCTGAAAATTCCGATCCAACATTGACAATGGCTACCAAGTACGTCTCCAGCAAAGAAACAACCAATTTTGCCCGGATTTCCAGGCTGATTGTTGATATTTGCTGTGATCTTTTGAGATCTGTACTTGATGCTAAGCTCTCCTTCACTCAACTTGATGTATTTGTACAAAGCCAACAATCTCACCTCTACCAATACCTGGACCCGAATCAGCGCCGTGTTCTGTTTCCTCGAGTTGGAAAGTTTACAGGTACCTCTAAGGATTTAGATTTTACCCTCCTCTACAAACTATTTCGACATCTCCTAAATATAGGTATCCCACCTCATAATAAAGGTTGGGGGAAGATACCAGACAGTTTTGACACGTCACTTTCGGCCAACATTGACCGGTTAAGAGTCCAAAGAAATGAGGTCGTTGGACACCTACCTAAAGCATCACTTTCTGATACAGACTTCAGTGAAAGGTGGATCATCATCCGCCAATGTGTCTTTGAAATAGAGAAAGATATTATGTCACCGGAAAAATTTGTAACGGATGTTGATGCTCTACTCACCATGTGTATGGACCCCGCAACAGAGAGGCAGTATATCGAGAAACTGGAGAAACAACGTGATTTGTTCTTGGAGGTCAAGGACCTTGTGGAGGATATTAAAGGTCAGTTATATTTATAGCAATCATCCCTTGCAGTAGTTTAATCATAACATCTGATCATGATACGCTAGACTTTATTCCTTTTTCGACGATGCGCTGTACTTGATAATTTATCTCTCTATGAAGTCAATCGGGCTTTAGATACGCAGGTTACATAGCAAGGAAAATGTGTGCCCAATCACAAGAATTTTGTCAAAGAAACGACATATTTGAGATGTATTTTGATTATTGGTTTGTGGCAAAGCTTTTCGGGTGAACGGTTAAAAACGGTATTGTAAATCGCCGGGAAAATCCACTTTATTGCGCAATAGGTAGCCCCACCGATAGGGATGCCTTGTTCGGTATAGGTAAAAACAGATTTGAGGACAACAAAGAACAAAGCGGTGTTTGGTTTAAACGCGAGATAGATTTGGTAGAGCTAAGATACGTTTATGTTTCACTGCGTCTTTTCACTAATCATCATGATAAATAATCTTCAGGAGCATAATCCGAATACCGATAATGTCCGGTGTACCAAAAATAAAAACTATGCATTTGAACGTTTTTGAGAAATGCTTATAACTTTGATAAATCAGTCCTGTGGTACCGTGTAAGGCCTGATTTACCGATGACTCGGGACGGTAGATGGTATGCAGGGAGGTTCCTTGGAATGCACTTGGCGAAAAGTCTTGGAGAGGGGATTATATAAAAAAAAATACATGCGGATTCCAAGGAGATACAGATGGTCTCCACAAAAAAAAAATTGTAACAGATTTCTGAACAGGGGCATATCGTTTTTCTCAGGAAGTACTACAGGTATCTTTCTCAAATTAACGTGTAGGTTCCCCTTGGTACTTTATTGTGCATGGTTAATTTTGAGACTGATGAGATCATCAAAATGGCTGACTGGCGGCCATCTTAATTTTTTTAAAGGTTTGTTATCTCTATTTCTCAGGAAGAACTCTATGGATCTTTCTCAATTTATTATGTAGATAACCCTCGTTTCTTAGTAGTGCGTGATTAATTTTAAATCTCATGAACAATATGGCAAGGACACCAACATATCCGGTCTCCAGCACACATGCACGTTACCACAACCCATATGGAGGCACGTCTTTAAATGACTTGCCTCGTTATGATAGCGCGGATATGATGGACCGTTTGGTTTGAGGATATCAAAGGTCAGTTATATTTATATCAATCATCCCATGCAGAATGTCAATAATAACATCTGATCATGATACGCTAGACTTTATTCCGCCGCCAGACCAAACGTCCTTTTCGACGATGCACTGTATTTAAAAATTTATCTCTGTATGAAGTCTATCGGGCTTTAGATATGCAGGTTACATGGCAAGGAAAATGTGTGCTAAATCACAAGAATTTTGTCGAAGAAACGACATATTTGAGATGTATTTGATTGTTGGTTTGTGGAAAAGCTTTTCGGCAGAGCGGTTAAAAAAGGTGATGTAAATCGTCGGGAAAATATCCACTTGATGGCGCACTAGGTAGCCCCACCGATAGGGATGCTTTGTTCAATTTGCCAGTGGATCGGTATAGGTTAAACAACAGATTTGAGGACAACAAAGAGCAAAGCGGTTTTGAGTTTAAAAGCGAGATGGATTTGGTAGAGCCATCTAAGATACTTTTATGTTTCACTGCGTCTTTTCACTAATCAACATGATAAGTAATCTCCATGAGTATAATCGGATTACCTAAATATCCGCCGTACCAAAAATGTAAACTATGCATTTGAAAGTTTTTGCGAAATGCTTTTGACTTTGATAAATCAGTCCTGTGGTACCTTGTTAGGCCTGAGTTACCGATCACTCGGGACGCAGGGAGGTTCCTTGGAATGCACTGGGCGAAATGTCTTGGAGAGGGGATTATATAAAAAAAAAATACATGGGGATTCCAAGGAGATACAGAAGGTCTCCACAAAAAAAAGTGTAACAGATTCCAGAACAGGGGCATATCGTTTTTCTCAGGAAGTACTACAGGTATCTTACTCAAATTGAACATGTAGGTTCCCCTCCGTCCTTTATTGTGCATGGTTAATTTTGAGACTGATGGGATCATCAAAATGGCTGACTGGTGGCCATCTTGAATTTTTGAAAGGTTTGTTATCTCTATTTCTCAGGAAGTACTCGATGGATCTTTCTCAATTTAATATGTAGATACTTCTCGTTTCTTAGTAGTGCATGATTACTTTTAAATCAAATGAACAATATGGCAAGGACACCAACATATCCGGTCTCCAGCACACATGCATGTTTACACAACACACATGGAGGCACGTCTTTAAATGACCTGCCTCGTTATGATAGCGCGGATATGATGCCGACTAGAGAGTGCTGGTTGCGTATATACGATTGTATTTTTGATTGTATTTGTTAAACTGTGCCTTATATGTGCTGTTGTGTTTTAGGCGATCTCACTGATGTTACAATCCAACAGAGAACCATGGCAACGGACATCAGTGATGTTACAATACAACAGAGAACCATGGCAATGGACATCAGTGATGTTACAATCCAACAGAGAACCATGGCAGCGGACATCAGTGATGTTACAATCCAACAGAAAACCTTGGCAACGGACATCAGTGATGTTAAAATCCAACAGAGAACCATGGCAACGGACATCAGTGATGTTACAATCCAACAGAGAACCATGGCAACGGGCATCAGTGATGTAACAATCCAACAGAGAACCATGGCAACGGATATCAGTGATGTTACAATCCAACAGAAAACCTTGAAAACAGACATGACTTCACTTAAGGGTATGATCTACAACCAAATGTTAAGTTTGAACTGTTACGCCCGATTCTAATAGGACGCATTGTTGTATGTGGAGCGTACATCCATCTGTCCATCCACTCTTCGGTTTCCATTAGTTTATATCTGTCCCCAGGTCGGGACATACCAAAGTCCTTAAAAATGGTAACTGATTTTCTGTTCTTTATGTACAGCTATTGAGGTAATGGCAACAACTGGTTCACCTGTTGTTAGTATATTTGGAAATAGTTGCAGTAATATATATCATAAGGAATTTTCCATTGTTGCTTTATTATCCATGGGGGCGATACAGGCCCTCTGGACCTCTTGTTATTACATTTTGGCCGATTTGACCTTGGAAAAAGTCAAGGTCATTTACTTATGGTTATTCAGAAGGGTTGTTTAAAGGTTTCGAACACTTTAACCCTTGATCTTGAAAGGAGGTCAAGGTAATTTATTGGAGGGAACTTTAAGTTTAAAGCACTTAATGGCCCCTGGTCCTGTTTTTACGAAGAAGTCGTACATATGGCTAGCATGCTCGGATAAAAGGTTTGAAAAGAATGCCCTGGTATTGTATTCAAGGCCAAATGTTTCAGATATGTTAAAAACTTTAAACGACTTCCTCTGAATAACAAACAAGAACTAGGATGGTGACATATGACCTGTAGCATGCACAGATAAAGAACTATCGAGTTCAAGATCACAGGGGTCAAATGTGTTTAAATATTTTAACGAGTTCTTTTGAATGACTTTGAGTCAAGACACTGATATTTTTGCCTATAGCTTTATTTTAGTCTACGTTTAAAGTTATAAGTGTGAGATTAATACTAGGTGCGTGAGGTAGGCTCATTGCTCCACTTGTTCAAAAACTGCATGTTCTACACCAACTAAACTTGGATGATAGATTATTGATCTGCAATGCATCTCAATACAATGTCTTTAAACTTTCATTTTGATATATTCAACGGTTTGGCTATTAAATCAACATACATTTTCTTATTTAAATTCCTATTTGACTTTGATATGTATTTTGAAGTTTCAAAATAGGTAACCGTCAGTATAGTTTGGTCATCACGAATGTCAAGTGTCCGTTTTTCACTTTGATTCCCACACGTTGTGCTGTTGATGGTCAAAGCGGTGACAGTCGTAACATATTCCATGAAATTCTTGTTATTTAAGTTTTAGAATTATTAACTTATAAACACCGACCTTTGTCACATTTATACTATAAAAAGTTGTGCAAATGAAAATAACATTATCTACCAAGTGTCATATCTTTTTCCCCAATAATGACGTGTTTGTCATTGTTAACCTCCAGATGACGTTAATACTGTGAAGGAAGCACTGACTAGCAACCGACCAGCGCATCGTAAAGGTAAGCTTCAAAACGTTTATATAACACTCAATTTAACCAAATTTGAAAAATAACTTTTACATTCCCCAATAACGAAGTCACATCATCTTGTCATCATGTCTGTGATTACATTTGTCTTAACAAGAACACCTAAACAGTTAAGACGATTTAAAAAGAATGCTCTATACACATGAGCAGTACATCATTGAGTTACACAACTGGATCGAAGCGTTTTTTTATGTAACTTAGAACAACTTATCGGCAACGAAGTTGTTAACCTGCAATTACATTTTATACACCCGTCAAAATGTTTGACGGGGACATTTTATGGTATATGGTTTTCGCAAGATGACTTGGTGAGCATGTACCATATACGAAGATTGAAGGGATGTGTATGTTTTTTAGCTAACTTGCAATATTGCGCGGCGTCCGTCGTCTGTCCGCCAACTTTTCCTTTAATACGGTACTTGTCCTGAACGGCTTAGGGTATTTTAACTAAATTTGGCTAGGAGTATCCTCAGCCAAAGGGGATATTTATGTAAATCATTTTAAATTCTTCTCCTGTACAAGAAGAGGGATTCGAACTAAGTTTAATCTAGAAAATTCTTCGCCAAGCGCCAGTATTAAAGGTGACACACGCCAGACAATCTTCGGTCAACAACTTTATCCAAAACGAATGGCTTTATAATACAAAACGAACGAGAGTTCCATCAATGGGAATCATTAGTCTACGCTACTGTCACTTACACCACAGCCATATAATACACGAGTATATGGTGGTGTGGCTTCTCTCTTTTTCTCAAAATGAAAATGTTCAAATGCTCAATTAAATGTTCATCATATTGGATAATAAACACGGAAAGTTAACCATCTGTTATTTTAAAACAGATCTCCCTAACTTATAAGTCATAAGTCATGAGCTTATAATTAGATTTAAAAAAAAAATATACATCTCTAAAATGGTTTGTGCAATATCTTTGCAATTTAAAATCTAACCAGCATTTTGACATAGGAATTAATATCAATGAACTACGTGTAAGTCATAAGTTGAAGAAATTGTCTTATGAACGTACAGTAATATTTATGAACATAATTTATCAGGTAACATAATCGTCCAAGTACTTGGGTCGTTGGGGAACACGTCGAGGTCGACTGGCAAGTTCGGGTTGAGTGGAAGGAGGTCATCGGATTCAACGTGACTAGTCTCCTCGATATGAGTGTTAACGACCGGTGGAATGTCGTTGTCCATGGTACTGTCCGGTTCCCTGATAAGAATTGGGATATCGGGCTGAATGTCACAATTAGGTGGTTCGGTATTTGCAGGAGTGGACAAAAGAGGCGGTATGTCTACAGGTGCAGGTGGATTGTCTATAGCACCTGTCATTTTCAGGAATATGTGTATTACGTACTGGTTCTGTTATCGTACACGGCACACGATAGCATTCGCTGAGTTTAACCTTGTACGACGATGAACGCAGTTGGTTAGCAGTATTTATTTTTACAAAACACCATTCCGACCCTTCTGGGATAGTAGCGACAAGATAACGATTACGCGCTTTTGTTTTGTCCCTATCGCTATACAGGTAGACCAAGTCGCCAACACAAATCTTGCCTTGGGATGGTGTGTTGTTATCGCGATGCTTTGACTTTTCACTCGACGGATAATTAGTTTGCCGGCGCTTGTTCTGTTCGATGATAATGTCTCTGTCGGAGATAGGTAGTTGATCATGTGTGAATTGACTTCGCTGTGTCCACAACTCGCGAGCGGAGAGACCGGATCCTCGGATACGAGCATTTAAGCGAGCAACTGCAGTTGCTAACCCAAGTTCAGTGACTGGTCCTCCCCCAGGTTCCTGACGTAGCAGCTCATCTTCTAGTTCACCGATTGCTCTTTCTGCGACGGGATTTTTGTTAATGTTCTTTGTTCGACCAATTTCGATAGCGATACGGAACTTGTAGAGAACCTTGTCGTCGCGTAAGGCCATGAATCCCGGGGCGGGATCAACTCTGATAATGGCGTGTGGACCATCGAGAGGATGTAATTCGAGAGCGAGTCGCAACAGTCCATCACGAAGAGTATCGCGTCTTTCATCGTTGACTATGTAGGCTGATGTATACGATGTCGTAGTCTCGCGAAGAAGTAATATCAATTGACGGTTACATTTGAGTACGTCTGCGGCAAATGAAACACCGACAGCGTCAGGAGGGCTGTTCTGACGACACAAGAACTAATTTCTGTGGTAACTTTTTTAGTGATGTACACACATGACAGGAGTCACAAACGCGGGCTATTACTGAGTTCATGTCAAGTCCGTAGAAATGTCTTTTAATGACAAGCTGCATTTGATTCCTTGTGGGATGATCCAGTGTGATATGAAGAGCTGTCACCAGACCATCCAGAACTGAGCGTGGAACAACTATGAGCTCTGTAGAAGGCTTGATGGATCATTGCGGCGGACAACTACGAGACCGTCCTTAGCGATGGAAGCAACTGTGAAGTAGCGCTTGACGTCCTTGATGTTGGTAAGCTTCTTCGACGGTCGCATGCCCTGTTTTAGGTGGGCATGAGCTCTGTGCAGATTAGGACAGTCGGATTGGATAGCTGTCAATGCGGATCGAGTGGTGAACAGTAATGGCGACATGTTGTTGATGACGTCCTAGACACAAACTGACCGCACAACGGAGTTCTCTGTTTCCGCAATACAATTGCAGTTTTGGCAGTGAAGTTCTTCGCAGATAGGCGCATTTCTGCTAGCGAAATCGGAGGGTACGTTGACAGAACCTGACAGGTGTCTTACACTGACCTGATACCTGCTAACGGTGGTGAGGAAGGAAGTAACGCGTGGACTAGCGGAAAACCCTCCACGTGCCAACTTATCAATGGCTTGAACACATGGTTGACTGTCAGTCAGTATGCAAGCTTGATGTTTCGACTGTATGATGAATGGACTGTAATGTTTTACCGCCACGGCAATACACAGAGCTTCGATTTCACATGGACGCCACCTGACTTGCTGTTTCCTCAGCTTCGCACTGAAGAAGCCAGCGAGACTGAGTCGGTTTTCGCGCATAACATACAATGTGGCACCGATACTGACGGAACCGTCGGTCACGATCCAAAGAACATCGGATGCGATCGGTAGCGTGATGGATTTGTTCGAAGCCAATGATCCTTGAGCATAGGAGAAGCGTTCTTCTAGCTGATCAGTCAACTTGATTTTGTCTTTAGATTGCACCCCCGCGACAGCCTTCTCGAGCGGAGCTAAAATCTTTGAACAGTGTGGTACGACACGACCTAACATTTTGTATGCACCGAGGAAAGAACGGAGACCGAATACTGTATCGGGTCGGTTACACGAAGCTCACACGGCAACCCTATGGGGACTGGCAGAAATCTGTCCCTGTGACAAAATCCATCCGAGTATGGTAGTGGATCGAGGACAAATGACAGTCTTTGAAGACGATAAGCGTAGGTCGCAACGTTGTAAACATTCCATTATTCGGGACCAGTTCTCCAGTAGTTGTTCTGGAGTGTTCTGGAGTGTTGCCGCCGCAGTACAAATCGTCTACTAATTTAGCCACGGTGCCATCTTGCAGACAATCACCGAGAACACGGCACATCATTTCTTCGAGAGCAGTCTTTGATCCTGGCATTCCCATAGCGCAGCGCCTATACATACGAACACCTCGAAATGGTGTCACTACACCGCAATATTTCATGGAGGGTTTCGAAAGTGGAATTTGATAAAATGCACTAGTCAGATCGGTCACGATGATGTATTGCCACTGAGCTATGGTGCGTGACGTAGAGTCAACGTCTGGCATTAATGAAGGTTGGGGCTTGCTATACCGCCCGACGTCTTCAAATGCGGTCACCAGTAGAAACCCACCGTTGGGTTTTTGACGAGAAATGAAGGGTTAAGATATTCTACAGTGACACCAATGTCCTCTGGTTTACAAAACACTCCTTGTTTCTCCAGATCATCGAACTTTTGTTGTAAGACGACAAGCCTATCTCGTGAGTATTGCGGGGTCCTACCCTTCCGTTGTGGGGGCTGGACGGGGCCCATGTTGATACGAGCCTCAAACTTCCCTGCCGCACCATTATATCCCTTGATATTGGGATCAAAGAGATTGTCGAACTGATTGAACTTGTCGCGAAAGGCTTGTCTTGTATCATTTGGTAGAATTTATCTGGGTCAAGTTTCACAGTGTCAGTATTACACGCGCCTGTTTGACGTTTTGAACGTTGATAGGGATATCGTAAGTGACCTCGGTAGGCTTCGTTGTTGTAAGACTAACTTGGCAAAAATGTTCATGCCTGCGAAGCATTTGAGGTTCTGTAGTATGATTGGGTATACGTATCGTACCACCTACAGCTTCCATGATAGTAGGGCGTGGCCAATCTCGAGGGAAACTAATACCGTCGGTGCGCGGTTCTAAGGCTAATGTACTTTCAGGAGGTAATCTGTCAGGAATGCTAATCTCCAAGTAGGATCCTGGCCAAACAACTGTTGAAGATGTCCCAACTCTCAACACATGAGCTTGAGCTCGACGCACGTGGTTTTGGGTAGTATCACTGCGTGTCTGGCCATAATGAACTACGTCCGATTCACCTATTCTGATCTCATTCTTTGACGGCCTAACTGATATATCATTCGCGATCATGAACGGCATGCCTGCTAGTATATCGACGTCAATATCGTCTACAACCTAAATTGTTCCTTGTCAATGTGATGTGGGTTTCACCAACTATATTGAGCGGGGTGATCCCGTCAGCCTGGAGGGCATTTTGGTTGCTCTTTTTATCATGTTAACCTCGGCACCGGTGTCCAAAGTGATTTCGCTAGGACTGTGTTGGTGGAACACTTTCATTTGAGGTGACTGTTTAGTGATTACACGTCGCGCTAAAGTTACTGCCCGTTGGTTATGATAGGGACCCGGGTCGCTCTCAGCGTCCCTCTCGCCCTCGTTAGCATCGACCTCGGCATCGTCAAAACCGTACGCGTCCTGAGAGTAAGTTTGGCGAGCTCTCGTCATAAAACGACGGTCCTCGTCGAGGAGAAATTTGCATGCACTTAAGAAATGGTTGGTATTAGCACGTCCGGCCTGTTTACACAAAATGCAAATTTTGCTAGGTCGTTTGGGTGGAAATGAAGTGGTACGGGATTCTGTGTTCGGAAGTCTAGGTTTAGGTTGGTTTCGAAAGACTGTTCGTAGGACCTTAGACTCAGATGATGCATGGATTTCATCCAACAAGCTATCGAGAGCCTGGGAAATTTCAGGTTTCAAAGACGCTAGCGTTTGAGATCTTAACACGGTACCGTAGCGCTGTTTCACGAGAGATGGCAAGTCTTTGTGAATTAACCTAAGCCAAGTAAGCACGATCATGTTTTCTACGGTAGGAGACATATCTTCATCTGTTGCTGGGATTTCACCATTATGACGGATATTTCCATCAGCACGCAAAAGATTGTCTCCAAAAAACTATTCAAGCGTTGAAACAAGTCTTCGGGACGCTCTCCAGGTTCAAGATGGATGTTATTAAAGTCAAGGAACTATGAACCTGTCGATTGAAACCCATAGTGCATGCTGATAGACTGCCAAATTGTCATGATTGATGTTGAGTTTTTAACAATGGTGTTTCTTGATATTATTGGACAAAAATTGGCGATTTGTCCGAGCATTAGTTCAAGATGTGTCAATTTCTGTGCCGCCGTGAGTCGATTGGCTTCAGGGATGTGATGGGCGTCATCAACCATGCCTCGTAACTGATTGTCATTGCTTTTCTTAAGCCAAGTAGAACCGTCCACGAGGAATGGGGCAAAGTTCCTATCAAGAGACAGTGTGTATTGGAGATTTGTCTCCATGCCTCGAATGATGTTATTGTCTCCTGTTTGGTGAGAGACCATTGTTTGGGAGCCTTATTTATGGCCCTGACTGTGTGAATGATGTGTTATTCACGGAAGTGGATAATATCATATGCTTATGTTCACCGAGGATGACAGTTTTAGCATGAACTGCAGACTGTCTTTGCTTCGTTTAGCGTAGCGAAAATGTCATTGAATACTTTCCTCGACTTATTAATAATGTCCGAGAGACGTAGGTAAGATAACCGCTGCCACCACGCCAGTATTAAAGATGACACACGTCAGACAATCTTCGGTAAACAACTTTATCCAAAACGCATGGCTTTATAATACAAAACGAACGAGAGTTCCATCAAGGGGAATCACTCTTGTTACACAAGGTTGCACACCACCATTAGGCTACGCTACTGTCACTAACACTACAGTCATATACTACACGAGTATATGGTGACGAAGGGTGATTCACTTTGTATGAACGAAGGGCGTGGCTCCCTTGGTGGCAGACGGGATGGGGCCATTAGGGAGAACATATGGAGAAATGTTTAAAATCCTTTTCCTTCTGCATGAATGGAGGGATACGAGTCAAATTTGGCGTAGAGCATGTAAAGAGGACTAGTGTTTCTTTTTGTAAATGGATGATGTAGCCCCCTGGTTGCAGAGAGGCAGGGCCCCAATAGGGGAAATGAAGGAATTAAAATATCTTTTACTTCTGTAGAAATAGAGGGATTCGACCAAATTTTGTCAAGAATATACTTTGGTCCTTGGGAAAGTTAGGTAAATTATTTAAATGTCTTCTTAGTACAAATAGAGGAATTCGATCCACATTTTGTCTAGAACATCCTTGGACAAGGGGAGTCACTTTTGTTATAACGAAGGATGTGGCTTCACTCGGGCCGAAAAAGGAGTACATGAGGAAAATAGTTAAATCCTTCTCTTTCCGAAGAATGGAGGGATTTGATTCAAATTTGGTGAAGAGCATCCTTAGGCAAAAAGAACTAAATTTTGTAGAAAGGACAGGTATTGCCTCCATTTTGGCTGATGGGCGGGGTCCTAATGGAAAAAATTAGGGAAATTATTTTAAAATCTTCTCTTTCTGTGTGAATGGAGCGATTTTAACCAAATTTAGTCCAGAACATCCTCGGACAAGAGGAATTCACCTTTGTATAAACAGAGGGTTGGCTTCCCTCGGAGCTAAGGGGCCAACAAGGGGTTAATTTTCAAGGCGACTTCTCTGAAAAGTAGTTATGGATATCAACAATATTTGGTTTGGAGAATTCTTCGGTGGCTGAAGATTCAAAATTGTACCAATTGAAGGGCTGACAATTGAAACTAGGGTCTGGCCCCTCCCCTAAGGACTTTATTTCTAAGCCTATTGAGATCCAACCCTATAACCACATATACCATTGCTGGGCCTAAAGAGATGAACTCACTCATGATATGGGCGGATTAGTACTCCGGCCTCCCACGCAGGCGGCCGGGGTTCGATCCCCGAAGTCATCGTACGCATGGAATATATTTAGAGAAAGTGTTTTCCACCTGCCCACACAACTCCAACAACCCAGGTGGAGTATAGAATGGTTTGGGATGGATGTTGCGGTATATGTGCTGTTTCATTCAAGTGAAGTGGCACTATAAATGATACCGTTGGAAGCACGGTCCCACTATAAACAGAACAAAATACATCTTCAGCACACATGCCGGCATACACACAAAGGGAGATATTAACCAGGTGGCATATGACTAGTAGGTACCGCCTAATAAGACAGCTCCTGCGAATTCCTCAAACAATGTATTGATAAAATATGCTAAATGTATTGATTGTATAAATTGTATATCTATGTACTGTAAAGCACTTTAGAGTGGCTTAGGTTAACAAGATATGGCGCTATATCAAATGATGTCTATTATTATTATTATGATATCAGTATTGACTCTTGGGTCTGGCCCCTTCCCTCGGGACTTGATTTCTATACCATAACTTTGAAACGGTTTAGATCCCTAACGCATAACCATATATACATTTGATAGGCAAAAAGTGATAAATATAGTCATGATAATATCATTGACCGATGGATCTGGCTCCACCCCTCCGAACTTCATTCTTAAGCAATACTTTTTAAAAGGTCCCTATCCCGTAGCCATATATACCATTGCTGGGCGTCACGGAACGAACACAATCATGAATTTAATATTGGTTCTTGGGTCTGGCCCCACAACAAGGGACTTTTTTGGGGCGGCCGTAACTTTGAAATGGTCGAAACATGCACCCCATATATATTTAATATGCATAACGAGGTTAACACGGTAATATTAAATGACTAACCCTGGGGGAATTTGGGTTTTTACATTTTATGTTAAAAATTGAATTATGTAGGAAATCATAAAACGCTCATGACCTCTGCTTACCAGAGACAATCGTGGTTATATCTGAAGTTTAAATACTCGGTGGGGATGACACCTAGAGGTTATGTTTTATGTTGAATGACAAACTTTGAATTTCAAGGTTTTATATTCATACTGTGACCTCTGATTGCCTTACACAAATATAGTTACAGGTTGTACTGTCTTGAACTTACTTTGTTGAGAGTGATAACTAGTGATAACCCAAATGTATTTCAATCTAATCGCTATTGTACCGACTGTGTTGATAATTTGAGGATGTGAAACCTATGTGACTACGTAGCTGAATGGTGGAATGTAAACGATTTAGATTCAAGGTGCCCTCTAATTGGCTTTTGGACTATAACAATTATAACTCTAGCTTTCTTTAGCTGACTTAAACCATTTGGTGGGACACATATATAAGAGTAAACTTTATGTCAAAAGACTAACTTTCACCGTTTGGGATTTAAAATAGCTACCTTGGGTTCTAATAGCATGATAGATACTATTTAAATATATTCACCAAAATCCTGTATCAGTATCAAGGAAACAATTGATCAACCATGCTCAACTTGTCATTTCACCGAAACCTGTTGTAAGACTATATACCAGATACACAGATCATCAATGTCTGGCATAAATAGCATTATATAAACAAGACGGGAAATCTGTAGGTACCCTCAAGCTGATTCTTATACAAAATGTATTATGCATAATCTGTCAGTAACAAATCTACTATACTATGCTTTACCACATCCTTTTTTTATTTTACAGATCCCAATCCTAAGATAGCAGCTATGATAGGTGAGTTTCGTAAAGTGGATCAGGTGTAATGGGAAATCTAACAGATTGTATATGTACAGTCAAAGAGTTTGCAACGTTTTGTTTGGCTTGCTTAACAGCTAAGGTCAACGAATAACGTGCATCCATGTGTGTTGTGTAAGCGTGCATGCGTGTATGTGTGCCGGAGACGAGGTATGTTAATGAACTTGCCTCATTGTGATAGCGCGGATCTGATGCCGACTTTATACTGCTATCTCACTGAAATACCATACCGAATGCACCGTTGTACATTATAACAGTGGCAAATTTCGCGGTGTGGCAATGATTGCTTTTTTGGCTTTGAGTAAGTGAGTATTTATAGATTATACTGATATATATAACATATACATTTCAAATCCATGTCAATATTGTCACACACACAAATTCAACTTTAACATTATACAAAAGATAATTCAACATTTAGCATCATGTGATCACTATGTGAAATGTATATCCCTAGTGAGCAGTTACTTCACAGCGTATGCTACAAATGCGTTTATATTAAGCTCAAAAGTACCGTCAAGCTTATGTCCTGGCACGGCGTCCGTCGTCTGTCTGTCAACTTCTCCTGTACAACATTACTAGTCCTTAACGGTATAGGGGATTTTGACTACATTTTGCCTGTAGTAAAGGAAAAATCGTAACCAAATTTTAAGAGCATCCTTTAGCAAAGGGGTCTGGATATTGTATATATGGAGCAGACCCAGTAAATTAGTATCAAGGGACAAATGTTTAAAATACTTCTTCCGTATGTATGGGAAAATTATTTTTTATTTATTTTTAGCTCGAACGTTGAGCTTATGCTCGAGGCGTCAGTCGGTCCATCTGTCCGTCAATTTCCTTTAAATCTCTTCAAGTCCTGAAAGGCTCCATGGAGTTTGACTAAATTAAACAGGTTCATTTATGGAGAAAAATCCTATTCCTTTAGGACTATTGGAGGATATTAACCAAATTTGTGTAGAGTATCCTTGAGCAAAGATAACTCAATTTAAATAGTGGAGGACGTAGGACTTTTATTCAAGGTCACAGGGTCATATATATTTCAAATCTTCTTCTGAATAACCAGAAGGTCCAGGGTGATGGTATTTGGGCAGAAGCATGCTGGGATGAAGGGATACCATGTTTGTTCAAATGAATAACATTCACCCACCAGGTCGATTGTATTAAACAAATTTTTAAACGACTTATTCTGAAAACCTTAACGTTTAAAGTGATGCTTTTTGGCTAGTTACATGCAGGCATGAAGAGCTATCAAGTTTGTTTAAATGAATGACCTTCATCACTATTGCAGGTCACCAGGGTCAAATATGTCAAACCTTTAATCGACTTACGTAGATAAAAAGATGGTGAGGATGATGATATTTAGTTTATAGCACGCTGGGATGAAAGGTTTGAAATATTTGTTCAAAAGAATGACCTTGAGTTGTATTCAAAGTCAAAGGGGTCAAATAAACAAAATGCAAAGGATTGTGATATTTGACAAGTTGCATGCTCAGATGAATAGCTTATATGATTTTTCATGTAAATGACCTTGACACACTTTCAAGGTCACATCGGGTCAATTGTTTATCAAAGGTCATCTTATCTATAAATAAAAAGGTATAGTGATGGTATTCGGCAGGTTGCATTCTGGGATGAAGGGGGGTGGGGGGGGCATTAGTCGACTTTTACGATACATCTGTGGGAAACAGCAGGTGCATTATTTTCTCAGTCCCCGACCTACCTTTGGCGATAAGAATTCTGAGATGACCACCATGTTAGGTGAAACAGTTCAACATATCAAAGAAAATATGTAAGTGAAGGGTACAGGAATGATTGGTGTACTATTTTAATATATAATATTTCATTGTTAGTCTAATACAGAACCCACTAATCCTGTAGTATATATACATGTATACAATATTGTACACTAGTATGAGGATGTGTACCATTTCAGTATCAATTCACATCAGCACCAGTTAAAACAGTATTTATTGTTAAATGTTTTACAGACATAACCAAAGAAATGGTAAAACAAAACACAGCGAATACATTCGTAAGCACTCAGGGTTTCCATGACGCCAAGGAAAAGCTCCTCGAGAACCGGGTAGTCGTTGTGAAGGGCAACACCGGAGATGGTAAGACAACAACTGCCGTTCAGCTTCTTCATTGGATGTGTGAGGAACAACCAGGCCGACAACCCCTCCAGATTCACAACATTGAAGACCTGGATTCAGTGTCTCCAAAATCACAATATATTTGTATGATTGATGACATATTTGGAACACAGTGTGCGAGAGAAAAAGATCTAGGTGAATGGGAGAAAAGGGTAAATTCTGTTCTACCGACTATTTGTGGGAATGTAAACACCGAGGCCAACGTTCTCGTAATTACAGTTCGAAACGAGGTTTTTAATTACTACAAAAATCTCACTTCAGACTCAGTTTTCACTGAATCAAATATTATAGATCTAAGCTGTGATAACTACAAGATTGCAGGAGAAAAAATGCAACTCTTAAAGCTTTACACACCTACACAAAATAACTTCACATGGACAGAGAAAGAAATGAAAAAGATCGTTGAATGCGCCCGATGTATTGGATTCCCTCAATGCTGTCGGTTATTCAGAGATATTCCTGCCTTGCAGAAAGACAGAGTGAATTTTTTTCGGATGCCTTTTCAGTTTTTGGAAAATGCATTGTCAAAATTAAGAGAATGTACTGCCCTTTTGTTTCTCTACCTCAATGGAGGTGAAATTAAGGAAACGGATCTAGATCCTAATGGAGAAAAAGTCAGTAACATAGTGCTTGTGGAATCGTTTGAAGTTGATTTGATGTGTGTCAAAGATGACAAAAGTATGTGGTCTTACAAGAAAAGAATTGCATTTGTAAAGGATAGTTTAGAAACTTTATTAGGTTTCTTGGTGGTGAAGGAGAAACATTTGTCTGGTGATGTGTACAAATTTTACCATGACTCGATACATGCCACCGTGGCACTTCTGTATGGTAGAAAAAGTCTTATAGGTTACATAAAGTATTCTCCAAATAATTCTCTGAGTTTTCTTACAACTTTAAAATTTTCTTCAGACCGTATTGTTATACTACCAGAAGAATACACATATATGTATGAACGAATACTCAAAGAGTTTGATTGTAACGAGAAGTATGGTGCTACTATTGGCTCTCTAGCTGTATGGGATGATGGTGAATTTCTGAAAGGATTTGTCAAATGGCTGGGTGATAAAAATGTTGATAAACTCGATGTGTTAAATAAAGCATGCTCGTCTGGTGCAGAAAGGTTTGCTTTACATCTCCTTTCTGAGGGTGTAAAACCTGATACGAACACACAAGTGTGGTCATTGATTAAGAGACGTTGTTATGTTGATGGAGAGTATGTGGATGCACTTAAAAAGGTTGTTGTATACTTGAATGATGAGATGAAACTTGATTTGTTAAACAAAACATGCTGCTCTGGTCCAGAGGGATGTGCTAAATATCTTCTATCTGAGATTGTTAAATATGAAGAGAACACGCCATTTTGTGTAGTGAAGGACGAAAATGTAAATGTTCTTAAAAATATTTTCAGTAATTTGAATGATGAGATAAAACTTGCCATGTTAAATGTATCTTGTTATACTGAGTCAAAAGAATGTGTTTTATATATGTTGTCAAAAGGTGTAAAACCTAACTTCGAAACAATGATATGCGGGCTGAGGGGAGGAGGTGAGGGTATGATATTAAAATTATTGAATTTTCTAAACATTATGAGTGCAAAACAGTTATCACGTGATGATTGCAATGCTCTATACAAGGCATGTCTGTCTGGGGGAGAGAAGGAGGTAACAATGTTGTGTAAAACTTATCCACACTTGATACACGACACTACTTGTTTAGAACGAACCCCGCTTCATGCTGCGATAGCTAAAGGAAACTGCGATATATTTCACACAGTGGAGAAATTTCTACTTCGATCTTTATGTAGAGGGGAGGATGCACAAAACCAGTGTGAGATAGCGGAAGGTCGTGTGGTACATAGGAATTGTGCGTGTGCTCAGTACATGAATCAGTTAGTGGATGTGACTGGGAACACTATGTTACATATGAGTTGTGCGGCGGGACACCTGGAGATTTGTAAATATTTGTGCGAGTCATACCCATCACTAATCACAGTTGTAGATAAGAAAGGTATGACAACGTTACATGCAAGTTGTAAGAAAGGAAACCTGGAGATTTGTAAATATTTGTGCGAGTCATACCCATCACTAATCACAGTTGTAGATAAGAAAGGTATGACAACGTTACATGCAAATTGTAAGAAAGGAAACCTGGAGATTTGTAAATATTTGTGCGAGTCATCCCCATCACTCACCTCAGTTGTAGATCAGAACGGTAAGACAGCGTTACATTGGAGTTGTGAGGCGGGACACCTAGATATTTGTAAATATTTGTGCGAGTCGTACCCATCACTTATCACAGTTGTAGATAAGAACGGTAGGCCAGTGTTACATTGGAGTTGTGCGGGGGGATCCTTGGAGATTTGTAAATATTTGTGCGAGTCATCCCCATCACTCACCTCAGTTGTAGATCAGAACGGTAAGACAGCGTTACATTGGAGTTGTGTGAAAGGACACCTAGATATTTGTAAATATTTGTGCGAAACATACCCATCACTAACCACAGTTGAAAATAGGAAAGGTATGACAGCGTTATATATGGGTTGTGCGGAGGGACACCTGCAGATTTGTAAATATTTGTGCGAGACATCCCCATCACTAACCACAGTTGTAGATAAGAAAGATACGACAGTATTACATGTGAGTTGTGCGAAAGGACACCTAGATATTTGTAAATATTTGTGCGAGTCGTACCCATCACTTATCACAGTTGTAGATAAGAACGGTAGGACAACGTTACATTGGAGTTGTGTGAAAGGACACACTAACCACAGTTGTAGATAAGAAAGATACGACAGTATTACATGTGAGTTGTGCGAAAGGACACCTA